ATCTCGCCTTAAGAGGTGGACCCCCGATCTGGTTTCAGAACTCCAAACAGCTTTCACGGGGGGTAGGCTTATTCAGGATAATATCATCATTGTCCATGAAGCCCTTCATCATTTCAAGAATCACAAATTGGGTAGGAGGAGAGATATGATGCTGAAGTTAGATATGAAGAAAGCATATGATATGGTTGATTGGGAGTGTCTGGAGGAGCTTCTCAAGAAGTATGGGTTTGACAGTCGTTGGTGTAGTTGGGTCAGTGCCTGCATTAGAACAGTCAGTTTCTCTATTCTCTTCAATGGAGAAGCAACTGAATCTTTCACGCCCACCCGAGGAATAAGACAAGGAGACCCTCTCTCACCTTTCCTTTTCATTCTCATGTCAAATGCCCTCACCTTCTTGATTGATAAGGCGGTGGCGAATGAAAGCCTGAAGGGGATTAAATTGAATGCCAGATGCCCGGTGCTCACTCATTGCCTGTTTGCTGATGACACAGTCATTTTCGGAAAGGCCGATTACCAGGAAGCACAGAAAATTATTGATCTTATTGGGGATTACGGAGCTATAACAGGGCAAGAGGTTAATATAAACAAATCCTCGGTTTTCTTCAGTGCAAATGTCCCTAGGGACGTCAAAGATCATATCATCGCAAGCATTGGTTTTGCTCCATCAAACTGCCACTCAAAGTACCTTGGAGTGCCGACCGAATGGGGAAACTCGAAAAAAGAAACTTTTAGTTTTCTCATTCAAAGGATGGAAAAAATGGGGGAGGCATGGAAAAGCCTCCTTCTTTCTCATGGTGGTAAAGAAGTTCTTCTGAAAGCTGTCATACAAGCTATTCCTTCTTACATCATGTGTCTGTTCCATCTCCCGAAGGCCCTCACAAAGAGAATGGACTCTCTTCTCAGTAATTTCTTTTGGTCAGGATCTATGCAGAAGAGTACTCTCCACTGGTGTAAAAAGGAGATTCTGTGTCTTCCGAAGGCAGAAGGAGGGTTAGGATTCAGGAGCTTCAACGATTTTAACCTTGCCCTGCTTGCTAAGCAGGCTTGGCGCCTCCTTACGACCCCTGACTCTTTATGGAGCCGTCTCCTTAAAGGGCTGTACTTCCCAAGAAGTGAGTTCCTTAATGCGAAAAAGGGAAGCAAAGCATCGTGGATCTGGGTCAGTATCTGGGAGGCTAAAAAGGTGATTGGAATGGGAGCAATTAGAGTGATTGGATCAGGTGAAGACACGTGGGTTGATCAAGACCCTTGGATTCCCTTTCTGGAAAGTAATACGCTGAGGAGTGGCCCCCAGAATCACCAGAAGGTCAGCGAGTGGATTGATCCGGGAGATAGGAGTTGGAAGTCGGATGTTATACAGAGGAATGTGTCAGGATCTGAACTCGATGCTATCCTCAGGATCCCCATTGGGGAAGAAGGAGCCAATGATTTTTGGGCATGGAACTACAACAATGATGGTAAGTTCACAGTGAAATCTGCGTATCATTCGATACATAGAGCCAATACCAATGCACAACCTTGCGGGATCACTGAAAAATGGAAGTGGATGTGGAGCCTCCATCTCCCCCCGAAGCTGAAATTCTTTGTTTGGAGGTGCTCTAAGAATGGGCTTGCTACGAAAGAGAGACTGCTCCAGAGGAAATGCGCTCCCAACTCTATGTGTCATGTGTGCCAGAACCCCATAGAATCCATCAATCACTGTCTTTTCCAATTCCCTCGGCGCCAGCCTACAACCCACAGATTCTCAAGAAGCGGAATTCATTCTGGACATAATAATTGACCATTCCTCACCTCCAATTCTCGGTCATTCACAATTTACAACAAAATTTCCAATTTAGCCAAAAAATTACAATACATCATAGCCTGAAATTCTGGTACGTAAGTTCAAAATCCCCCATTCAAATGCTTGTCCAATTCATCCTAGAAAGCGTAGTTTCATTGAATCGGATTTATCATAGCAATCTAGATTTAGGGTTACAGAAAGTTTCACAATAAGCAAAGTGGAGGGGTGGGAATGTGGGACAAGAAATAGCTCTTGGATTTTTCAAGTGTTGCAGGTGATAGAATCGGGCATAGATCGACGGAGGAGCGATCGGGACGATAGAGGAGGAGGAGCGGTCGGGACTCGGGACGACGGAGGAAGATGAGTGGCTGGGACGACGGACTCCGATCAGAAAGAGGGAGAGTTGGCGCAGGAGTCTCTCGCCGCCAGCTGGATGCCGGGAGTCTCTCGCTTCGAGGGTCGCGGGCGGCAGTCTCTCGGTGTCAGCTGGATGCGGGGACAAGCGCGTTTCTTCCAGTGTTGTGGCTCGAACTTCGTCGACAAAGAAGAAAGAATTAGAAGCGGTAGGGATTTCTCGTTAGGTGAAGGGGGATGGATGGGATCTTGGTATCGAATCACTTAGGGGTAATTGGGTCATTTCTCACTTCATTTAACGGTCACTTCACATAATTTTTAACATAAGGGTATCGTCGTTACATTGTGATACTAGAAGGGCACGTTTGTGCACAAATATAGTATAGGAACACGTTTGTTAATTAGCTAGTAGAGGGACACAAAATGCTATTAACCCTTTCTTTTCTTATATATAAAATACGAGTGTGCTCGTTAGAATGGAGAGTTGAAGGACCAATTTGCTAAAGAGAGTAAAGTATAAGGCTATGCATGGTTAATAACCCTATCTTAAAGCCCTGGCTGAAAGGAGCATTTGCTTTGGAGAAAGAGGGGGAGAAAAAGAACGCGCGCACGAGATGCACGTGGAAACCCGTATCTCTTCTCGTCTCTTCCCCACGTACCAAACCAAGTGACTGGACCGCTTCACTTTAACTCACTTCATATTGGGCCCGCCCAGGGCCCATTGTTTGAAACTGAGCTTTCCACTCGGAGTACCCCCAATATTCGGCAAGGCCTAATAATTAATAAATTATTAATTTATTATAGAAAACCCTCAGCCTGTGCAATTTACCGGACTACCCTCCTCGGCCAGCCGATGGAATATGTTCTCACGCCACGTTGACATTGCCGAAGCTCTTCTCCGTACTTCACTTGTCCGTCCCTGACCTCTTTTTCGTTCACTCGGTTTTGAACAAAACTTTGGGTAGTTAGTCAGTGAGTAGTCACTAATCAACACGTAATCCCCCTCCAAAGACTGTTAAACCGAACTCTAATTATAATCAAGTAATTAACCAACACAACAACACGGTCCACTTTCATTAGGATGAACACACAGTACACCCTCCATTCCTGCACGTGTACTTTCTTGTTCCCCCCCTTGAACACAACACGGTCTATTTTGATGAGGATAAACACTTCATAATATATATATATATATATATGCTATTAATTAAACATACTGATTGAGACTAACTAAAAGAAAATCCCCTAAAAAAATAGAGTAACTCATCATCGTTCTTACCAATTCAATTCATTTGTAGTTTTATGTGTTCTTCTTATCGAAATCTCAACCATTTTTAGTAATTACATTCATTTCAATTTCGTTTCACATTTAACAATGAAATTCACTAGTAATCACAAGCAGAGTTGATGCAGTTATAAACTCTGAAGTCATAAAAGATAAAAATAAACAAAAAATTAATCATACGCGATTGCAACTTATGATAATCACATTGGATGAAAACAGAGTTGTATGAGATGTCATGTCAACATATAATTCTAAATGGACAATGTTGATGCATGCTCTTGGTTTTGGATAGATTAGATCAAAGTTAGTCTTTTTCTCTCTCCTATTGAATGTATTACTATATACATTTTAATTGGAAAATTGTTGTGATATTATCTTTTCACTTGAAATGTTCAACACCCTTCTTTTCCTATATAGTTTAGTACTCTAGTTGGTCGCAATCCTCCGTAATATTTAGTATTGTATCACTACAATATCGTTTGAGTTCAAATCATTTTCATTGAAACTTGTATAGTTAATGATAAATCCATAATATGATCATAAAAAAGTTGTTAATAGAACTCCTTGCATTCGATGAGTTTGAAATATAATATATGCATACTTCCACCAGTAACATGTATCGCTCAAAGCTACGAGGAATTGTGCAAGTCATGTTTATCACCGTAACTAGATGTCACTCTTTGTTGGATGTAACGCACAATGTTGAAGATGATAGACAAATTTTGATTTTCTTTTGTTGTCTGATGTCATTCCGCAAAAACATTTGATGATACTAGTTGTAAATAGTAGTAGCTAACAAAATGTATCTATTTCGTAAAAAAAAGTGGTCTTATTAGTCAATTTTTTTAATTTCGAAATAGTTAATTAGTATTTCACTAACTTAAAAAATTGAACACAAAATTGTATTTTTTCAAAAAATAATTATTTAGATTAGAATTCATCGTCGAGATCTTTTTCATCAGTAACAGACTAACTCGATTGTGAGTGTGAACTGTGAGATCAGTAAGCAAATAGATGCTTTGTAAAACAAAAAAAAACAAAACCCGAAATAAATGGTAATTAATCATCATTGACGATTGCCATTTTGTTCCCTCCCCTAAATTAACAAAAAATAAAATAAATAAATATGAGAGACAAAATCCAAGATCATGGGGTTTGCCGCGCCGTGGGTCCCACACCAGGCTCCATTATTGGTTTCGCTTCATCTCCAAGCCACGTCATAATCCTCCCACGCATTACCCGATTAAAACTGCATAATCACTCAGCTTTGCCGGGGCTAACCCGGACCCGGAAGATTACCGAAATTAATTAATTATTATGTCCCACGCTGACACGATACTAATTATTTTATTCCTGAATTTTGAATGGTTTACTAGTCATATTTTCCAACAACTGGAAAGGGCATTTCGGTCATTCCAGGGTCCGATCTCTCATATATATACGACGACTCTCCCGTGTTCTTCGCAATTAAAACCCAAACGGAAACAAAATCTCCAAACTGGTAAAAGAAAAAAAATATAAAAAAGAATTCTCCAGACTTTTCTACTTCCCTCTTCCGCCGCCGCCGCTCTTCCGTTGATGGACGCAAGTGAAGCTCTGAACCTCTACGATTCCTACTGGTTCGAGATGGAGATATTGACGGACCGGTCAACGACCTCTTCCCCTTCGCCGCCGGATTCCCCGCCGGAGACCCCGACTATGGCCAGCATCTATATGCAGATCCAGAAGCAACAAGCTCCCCCTCCGCCGCCGCCGCCGACGACTCGCGGCGGCCCATCGACGATTCTCAGATCCGTGAGCGAGGATCTGTACACGAAGCCGAGCTTCCACAACATCCCGGCCTCGCCGGATTCCGTCCTCACTTCCCAGCTCCGCACAATCCTCTCCGGCAAAGAAGCCACCGGAGACGAATTGGAACAATTCACCAACTACTCCCCTCCCCCTCCTCCTCCACGCCCGCGTCGCAGAAAGGTACCTCGCGCCGCCTCCGGTTCCAATTCGCCGCCCAAGGCGCGCAGAGCGGCGAAGAAAGGGCCGGCGAGCAAGAGCCTGTCGTCGCTGGAGTTCGAAGAGGTGAAGGGGTTTATGGATTTAGGGTTTGTGTTCTCTGAGGAAGATAAGGACTCCAGGTTGGCTTCGATTCTCCCCGGGCTGCAGAGGCTGGGGAAGAAGGTCGACGGAGAAGTGGACGAATCGGCGATTCCGCGGCCGTACTTGTCGGAAGCCTGGGCGGCTCGAGAGGCGGAGAAATTGAGGAATCCGGTGACGAATTGGCGGGTTCCGGCGATGGGATTGGGGAGCGAGATGGATATGAAAGATAGCTTGAGATTGTGGGCGCATACTGTTGCATCTACTGTTAGATAACGTTGGTTGGACCGAATCCGAAGCCACACACAGAGAAAAGTTCATTCTTTTAATTCGTTTGTAAGATGATTCTTTACTGTTCGTTAATTACCCCTGCCAAATGTAAATACAGAGCGAAATAAAAAAAAAGCTACATTGTTGGAATTGATGAAGATGTTAATTAATTAACTACGTACGAGTCTTGCAAACGAGGTCGTGGTCGTGTCATAGATTTTTAGTCTCGAGTTTCTAAATTCGAATCTTTGAAATGATGCTCATTTCCTTTTCCCCATCTATATATAGTAGCATTCCTCATGAACATGTTCTTGTAAAAATAAGTTCCGATGAGTCTTAACAATAATAATTGTCGACGGGCTTAGTTTGAATTTTGGTCGAGACGATGATTGAAGGCTGGTCGGTCATCCATCCACATTTCAATCAAGACTTTCCTTCTCTCGATCACTTCTTTTGAGGAAACTGGGTAAGTGGGGGAGGATTGCAGAGGGCTTTCCTTTGCTTGGATTAAAAACTAGCAGAGATTCAAAGTGAGCTTACATTCCGTCATCTGTTTATTTTATTTACCGATGATGTCGAGGTTAAATCGGGGTAAACCGATTCGATCATTAGCTCTCTGTACAATTGTATGCAACTAATTGGTGGACTATTTCTTCATTCTTCTCTATGCCACTTCCATTCCATTCCCCCGGTTTGTGCTTGGAGTTTATCGTGGCTTGGAATGAGGATAGGCGATGGGCATGGGCACCACACCATGGTCTTGGACTCTCGCTGGGGGGGTTTTGGTAAAGGTTCATCGATAAAAATTAGGTATTTCGTATGATATGAAATGTAATAAGGATTTGTGATTTCGAAAAATATCCAAAGTAAATTTCTTCATTCGAATAATTTATGCATTTACTTATCGTTAATAATTTTATTTTCAAAAAATCCCATCATAATTGAGCCCCTCAAACTTGAAATACTGATTTCGCCCCTTGTTGTTGTGGAATGAAACACTTTTCTAGTCGATTTCGACTCGTCAAATTTGATTTACCTGAATACACAGGAGTTGTGATAGGTGAAAAGGCGTCAGTAACTTTATAATTGGTCGCATAATTGTGCCTCTGGATCGCCTCTCGTAGCTGTTGTAAGTAAAAAAAAAAAGAAAAATCTCCTTTATGTTCTGCCATGGCGCCATTAACCATTATATTATACCCTTCCAAGTAAAATGGTGTTACAAATCGGAATGTTGTTCCAGGTGGAAGAGAATCACAGCCTGTGGTTTGCTTGCATGGGTCAATGGACGGCAAAAGAGGGAATTAATTTCTGACAGCGAAGAAGAATTAGCAGGAAACAGCAGTGAAATCGTTGGTTAAAAGCGAATCTCAAACTGGAAAAAGGAAGAAGAACATGGCTAGCTAGGCAGCTTAATTTATTTATTTGTCTTAATTACAAGTGTCGACAGATTAAGAGCTAGATCCATCGGAGGCAAAACCTCGTTCCCAAAGTTCGGTTTTTTCTTGAACAACCGGTCAAAGATTTTGTTAGTTGATCCCTAATATAAAAGAGAACATTAAGGATGTGAGTCAGATACTTAGGCCATTAGTGACTAAATTTTGGGTAGAAGCGGAATTTATACCTATAATATTATGTACAAACTCAGTTTGTACAATAAAAGTTTTTTTTTATTAATAAATAAAAGTGTTGATGCTTTGATAGTTTTTGTGGTTGTGTTTTGTTGCGTTGTGATTTTTAGGCATGGTTTTCTTTTCTACTTATCTCCGAGAAATGTTGAAATCCACTAGCAGTAAATGGTCTTTCCTTGAGAGTATGATACGTGTTGAAATCGTATGAGTGAATGAATCCCTTTTCTTGGCGGGATTGAACCAGTTTTCTCCTTTCTTGGCGAGAAATGACCAGGGGTTTTCTTTGCTAAAATTCTTCTTTTTCTACCGAATCGGCTATAGCTTCAGCTTGCGATCGTGGCGGTGCGGTCAATACAGGTGGGGCGGAAATCTCCACCTCTTCCCTGGCTGTCGTGGTCTCGATTTGTGGCGATGGTGGTTCGGAGGCACTCGTCGGGGCGACAAGAGGGAAGGACGACAACGGCGGTGCAAGTTTTGCGCCGTGAGCATCATCTACCTCGTCCTCTACCGAATCGGAAGTTTCAACTTGCGGCGGTGGTGCGGTGACTCTATCGTAAGCCTTGATGACTCTACGACAAGCTGCCATCGCAATATCCAAGGACGCCATCATTTGATTGATGAGTTCATCTCTGGATGGTTTTTCTGAGCTGATCATGATCGAACACGGATAGACGGCTCTGATACCAAATGATACGTGTTGAAATCGTATGAGTGAATGAATCCCTTTTCTTGGCGAGATTGAACCAGTTTTCTCCTTTCTTGGCGAGAAATGACCAGGGGTTTTCTTTGCTAAAATTCTTCTTACCTATTATTCATTTGGTTCTTCATATAAATACATAATAGATGAAAGAGAAAAATCCTAACTAGGTGGAGCTAACATCCACGTTGAGCTGCTAATGCTGTTGATCTAACTCCACTTAAGGTGGACATGCCTATTGACTCTCAACAGCCCATTACCCTCTAACAATTACCATAATCTCTCCCTAAAATTACTAATAATAATAACTAATCCAAATTATGGAAACTCTAATAAATCTATACGCATCAGAGTACTCTATAAATTCTTTCATATTCATAAGCAGAAGTGCAGAACGACCTTGTCACAAAAGTTTGGAATGACAAACATAACAGTAGTCACTTTGCCTATCGCAACCAAGTTATCCGTCCAACTAGTTTAAATTAGAGTGTCAACCCAATCAAACCAACAAGATAAGTAGACAACTTGAAAACTCAATCGGTTATGTTCACTGTTCACATGGACGATTCATTTTAACTCATGCTTCAATGAAACTGAACTCGTTGCCTATACTGATTCCAACTCACAACTGTTAGAAACCAAAGTACTCTAGCCATTTTCTACTCTGCCTGATAACCTACAAGAGCATAATCATCCATGATTTGGTTGAATATTAAGAAGTTATGAAATTAATTATATGGTTAGAGTGGGATGAAGATTCAGCACAACTCAATCTAATAAATGTAGTTGCCAACCAGTCAACCACTAGCCAAAATGGGGTTGATGCGATTTCCCACTTCCTGATCAACTAATGATTTTGAACTGAATGTCAACGACTCAACCTGTATTGTATACCAACTCACGTTGAAATCTTGATCCCCACTGCAACCTTCTTTTTCTTTCCTTCACTTGTCGTCTTTGTTCAAGTGGAAAGTCTACCCACGCCATAATAATACCCAGGTTAATAATTTAATTGGTGTTCCTCTTGCTGAAATATTGATGGCTCAATTTGTGCACATACCAACGACGCTATTTAATATCATCATAATCGTGTATTCGTGTTCCATCAATATAATATTATGTGCGCATGTCTTTTGTCATATACATACGTTAGTTTACATGTTTTGGATGTAACTCGATTGATATCGACCAAGTTTGTCAATCTGCAGGTCGACTCACTTTGACTCTGGTTCGGTGAGAAAACGGGTCGACCGCTATAAGGTATCGGGTTTAGGGATGGTAATGGGTCGGGTCGGATTTTGCCAAACCCAAACCCATGGGTTTATTCGTGAAAAAAACCCGGGGTAAATCCACTGGGTTTGAAAAACTCAAACCCAACCCAACCCGCTGGGTATCCGTGGGTTCATGGGTACCCACGGGTTTTTGTCGTACAAAATTTACAATAACAAGTTTCTATCAAAATTAAACTCAAATATCAATCTCTCAATACAAATTATCCATATATAAAACACATTTCTAGAAAATTCAAGCAAATCACAAATTAACTATACAACTTGTTCAACACCAATCTAGAAAACTCAAGAAAATTGAAGCAAATCACACATTATCCATAAATAACATGACTAATTGAAAGCTTCTTCCTTTCAATTAAGTTTCTTCACTCTCCACTCGATAAATCAACTTCATTATACACAATTTGAAAGAAAAAATTATACATGTCTCCACAAATATAAATAAGATGAGTTGTTTAGAATATTGAATATACCGAGAAAATTAACTATATGGGTGTGAGCGGGTACCCATGGGTCGGGTTTACCTAAACCCAAATCCAACCCAACCCGGTGAATAGTGAACGGGTTTAAACCCAAACCCGGCCCGGCAAAATCCGTCAACACGAATTTTACCCGCGTTGACCGGGTCGAGTCGGGTGGGTACCCGTGGGTTCGGGATTTGTTGCCATCCCTAATCGGGTTGGAGGTCAAATTGTGTCATTTTTTCTTTGGTTTGCGAAATGCGCCTATTTTCCGATTTTTCTTTTCGTCTAACTCCATCTTTGGAATCCTAATTAGTTGAACATTTGATTATATATGTTATATTAAGTGTGTGTGAATTTTCAATATATGTTGGATCTAAGTACATGTTATTTTGGTGAAATATTATATGTTATAACTCATATGTTAGATGAGATTTGATATAATCTATCAGGATAAGTACAATATAATGACTCTTTCCATATTTCCGGGTTAAAGCGGGCTAAAGCGGGTGACCAATTAACCCTTGACCCACTAGCTCCACCGGGTCCGAGTCAACCCGCGGGTTGACAACCTTGATATCGACGAATCATAATCATAGCGACTATGATTCATCGAAGTACAACGAAGTATATTCAACGGCGAGATCACTTGGAGTATTAATGCACGTATGTGTACACACATATTAGATGTACTTCGATGCACTTACAATAATCACACCCGTCGATTATTATTCTTCTTGAAAATTAATCTTATGGTCTAAATATAGAGAATCCAGGTCTATCATTCATCCATTAAAAATCAAAGTACAGTATCATACTTTTAAAACTACCTTAATTCATCATCTAAAATAATAAAATTGGCATATGCAACACATCACCATATATACAACCCAAGAAACACAATGGTTACGGGAATTATGATCTGGCA